TACACTGCAGCTGATAAACTCATGTTTAGGAGCTGGTCAACGTTTTTTTTCAGCAGCCCCTGAACTCTCCCTAATGTTTTCCTATGTGTCCATGTACACATCTTCATTTCACAAGTGTAATAAAAGCGCCACACCCTTAATACTTTAAAGCAGCAATTCCACCTCAAAGAAACCAAATAAATTTCTTAGTGCTATAACTTAAATAAAGGAATGCGCTAAAACCACAAACTTTTCCTAATTTAGTGTAGAAACATTAGTGCAAAAGATATATATATCTAGTCTCAATTAATATCAAAAAAAATATCAAAATTATGTGCAAAACTATTTTTTAGTGCATAAGTAATTTAAATAATTAAATTTGTGAATATAAAAATTGTCCATTTTCTGAATTTCTTCAAATGTCCAAACAAATCCTTTTCAAACTCAGGTGCTCTCAAAGAAATTGTGCCAAAATCCACCACCAAAGTAAAGTTGGGTAACTCACCAGAGCTCCATGCTGATCAATCTCTAGATCAGCAAAAAACGCTTTTTGCTCTGGGAGCAGATGCAATAAATCAACTTCTCAGGTGTGATGATCAATAGCTACACAATCATCCATAAGGTAGGTATCCACCACTCAATATAACGGTTCCAGGAGCATTATATCACTCTCTCTTTTTATATCTCTCCACCGAGGTCATGTTTGGGAATGAAAGAAAAAATCATGGTGCAGCCAGTTTTTTTATAAAAGTATCCAACAATTTAATAAAGATTTACACTCACAAAAAGGGTGCCTTCACCGACACCAGTATAACAGCATAAAACAGCAAATGGTATAACAGTCTCCTGTTCCCCGCACACTCACTACAGCGCTCCTAACTCAATCCTCTCCACAGACATCAGCATCCAGCAAGCCAAGCCCTACTAGTTTCGTCATGAATGACGTCTTCATGAGACCGCCCCTTGAAGACATCATTCATGACGAAACTAGTAGGGCTTGGCTTGTGATTGATCATCACACCTGAGAAGTTGATTTATTGCATCTGCTCCCAGAGCAAAAAGCGTTTTTTGCTGATCTAGAGATTGATCAGCATGGAGCTCTGGTGAGTTACCCAACTTTACTTTGGTGGTGGATTTTGGCACAATTTCTTTGAGAGCACCTGAATTTGAAAAGGATTTGTTTGGACATTTGAAGAAATTCAGAATTGGACTATTTTTATGTTCACAAATTTAATTATTTAAATTACTTATGCACTAAAAAATAGTTTTGCACATAATTTTGATATTTTTTGATATTAATTGAGAATAGATATATATATCTTTTGCACTAATGTTTCTACACTAAATTAGGAATAGTTTGTGGTTTTAGCGCATTCCTTTATTTAAGTTATAACACATCTTCATTTACAGTCATTTACAGGCATTTGAGTTTATAGTCATTTTTTTGAAAGCAGAAAACATGCGTTCAGCAGTCAATTTTATCAGCGTTTCAAATGCAAAATGCTTGTAAATGTGGCTAAACATGTCTAAACGCTGCAAATCGCGTTTCTAAGCGTTTGCGTCTGAAAATTTTTTTTAATTCTTCCAATTCCCAATGCTGTCCAGAGCCTTTTTTTCATCATGAAAAATGCATGCAAAGCATTTTCAAGGTACTCAGATGGACAAAACACTGCCACAGGATGTTCCTACCAAGCTTGTCACACATTGTAATGACCAATTCATGCCTCAGACCTCTCCCTCCCTTGGAAACAAAAGATATGTTAATGGCATTCAGACCTCAAATTCCTCAGGAAGACCCCTGCCAGGTGACCTTATTAACTCACTCCAGCAGACACCTGTCCCACCTTTGGAAACAAAAGAAATGTTAATGACAATTCACACCTCAAATTCCTCATGAAGATCCCCTACCAAGTGGCCTTAATGACTCACTCCACCAGACACCTTTCCCATGCTTGGAAACAAAAGAAACAAAAGGGGTGGCAGAGCAGAGGAAAAAAGGACAGAGGAAGATGCTGGGGCCAGAGTAGCAGCTCAGCTGCTGCTCCTTCCAGTGTTCCTCTCAGACTCAGTCCCTTACTGCAAGCTGGCTGGTGGCATCTGACAACTGTGGAGATTCCAGCCCTTCTCTTCCCATTCATCAGCGGAGGTGGTAGAAGGTAATGTCTGACTCTGATGTCTCCTGTCTGTGTGAGTGAGAATCGGGCGGCCAGACATCCATCACATGCAAAATGTGTCAGTGAGTGATGACATCATCACAATCTCACAGCCTGCTCTTCTAGTGCCTGCTGGGCCTGCTGATCTGTGTCAGTGTTGGTGGTGGTGAGTAGTGTCAGATCTTTCACTGTGTGGGATCACTCAGTTCAACTGTCTGCTGTCACAGCATGATCTACCCCCATTGCCTGGGGAATTCCAGCCTGGGATCAGTCAGAGTGTGCATCCATCATCCTCCACTCACTGTAACTTTCACCCTGCCACTGCCAACCACAGATACAGTCCATCTGTGACATTGATTTTGTCTTTAATATTGGTGCTGGTGTCATCTTACGGCACTTATTTTTGCAAATTAAAAGAAATTTAGCAGTTTCATGTTCTGTTGATTTAGTGTTTTCTACTATTTTTAAAACATATTATATTATTTATTTAACATTTATATTCTTTTTTTTTGTCGGGGGAGGGGGCACAAGTAGCTGGTCTTTCCTAGGGCGCAAAATAGTCTAGCACCAGCCCTGGTGGGGGCACAGATTAAAAGGAAGGGTCTAACTATTATTTTGTTTTCAAAAGGTGAATTTAGCCTATAAATTTACAGCTGGAAAAAAAATTGGATAATTTGTGTGACCTGCATTGTAATGCACATATTTTTAAAAATCTGTTTACTGTTGCTATGCAGGAAAGGTGGCAAACAGGCGCAAGATGAAAACATCTAGCTTCCACCTGGGAAAGTGGAAAATTTTCCAAGTGAACTCTTAATTAAATCTTAATTAGAAGATATGAAGTATAGTCACCAGAGAAGAGAAAAAGAATTTCAGTAGAGGATGGATTATTTTCTATAAAATTTCTAAAATTTCTAATATTTCTAAAAGAGTATTTTAATTTTAGGTGCTATTTCAGGTACACCTTTATTCAACCATAATCCTTTTAAGCTTCTGTTACTTTAATGACACACACTTTCACTTGTTTTACAAGTAAGATGATATAATTTTGATATAAATTATTCATCATTAGTAAGTGGCTCTATGATTAACTGAAATTATACATTATTTAAAGGTAAACTCTTGTATAACAATAAAACATTTTTTTTAAAATTATGTTTTATTTAATATTATTTTATGGAATAATAACGAAGAGCAGTTACTTCAACTTACAATAAAGCCTATCTCCAGGGCTCTGATTTTTTTTTAAAATACCTAATGAAGCAATGTTTTATTTATCTATTTTCACAGTTCAGTTCCCTCACTAGTGCCTTTTCTGGATAGGTATGATCAGTAATGCAGCATTGTAGCAGTCCCTACCAATGCCATTGTGCTAATGTCATCACCTGCAGACTCTCTTCAGTATCTTTAGAAGTTCTGGCACAGGCAGGGGTGGACTGACAACTAATGGGGCCCCCCGGGCAATAGGGTATCATGGGGCCCCTGTGTCCTTGCCCAAACTCAAAAAAGCCTAAGAAAAAGGTACCAGGGGCATCTCATGGGGCCCCCTACTGCCCAAGTTTCCAAATGGTCAGTCCGCCCCAGGGCACAGGACAGCCAATAGGAAGTGTCCACATCATACAAGAGGATCTAGGTGACCAAAACAGACTTTTAGGCAGGTTTTTTTTTATTTTTATGATTTCAGTTAATTAAAGGGAGGAAGGTGTGGGAGTGATCAGGAGTCCAGAGATCAGCTTTATGGCCTGTGTTATTGGTCTTTGAGCATGTGTCCATGCCATCAGTTTGACTTCAGTTTGAGATTCCTCTTAAATGATTCAGAATTCATTACAGGTCCTTCTGACCTGCATTTCAGCTGCTTCATGCAGGTATGGCATTCCTATAGACATGTAAAACTTGCTTGAAGCAAACAAAAGTCTGTTGACATAGGCCCTTAATAAAGACCAGAATCACTGAGTAATGCAAATCTTCCATGCCAATCGACTCCTTTGGAACATGTACAAGAGCATATAGGATTATAGAAAACCATTAGAATTAACATATTTAAATAACTACTCTTGATTTAAAATATAATGATATAGTAGCTTCTGCTGCTGCTGCTGCTGCTGCTGATTTAAACTATTTTAGGCATTAGACTCTGGGATGTACAGTAGCGTTGCTAGCAAGACTTTTTTCTGTAATGCATGAAAATTACATTTCCCAGGTCACCTTGTAGTGCTTGTCATAGAAGGGGGTCTGTGCTTGCCTACTGGGCATTTTTACCCCCTTCCTGCCCAGGCCAATTTTCAGCTTTCAGAGCTGTCGCACTTTGAATGCAACACTGTACCCAAACAAAATTTTTATAATTTTTTTGAGACAGATAGAACTTTCTTTTGATGGTATTTAATCACCACTGGGGTTTTTATTTTTTGCTAAACAAACTAAAAAAGACTGAAAATATTGGGAAAAAAAAGTTTTTTCTTAGTTTCTGTTATAAAATTTTGTAAATAAGTAATTTTTCTCCTTCACTGATGTGCGCTAATGAGGCTTCAGTGATGGGCATTGATAGGCCGCACTGATGGGCACTGATAGGCGGCACTGATGAGGAGGCACTGGTAGGTGGCACTGATGGGCATTGACAGGCATTGCTTGCAGGCATTGACAGACATCACTGATGGGCACTGTAAGGCAGCACTCATATATGGCACTGATAGGCGGCACTGACTGGAACTGATAGGCGGCACTGACTGGAACTGATAGGCGGCACTGACTGGCACTGATAGGCAGCACTGATTGGACCTGTTAGGTGGCACTGATTGGAACTGTTAGGTGGCACTGATGGGCACTGTTAGGCAGCACTGATGGGCACTTCTAGGTGGCACTGATAGGCAGAACTGACTGGCACTGATAGGTAGCACTGATTGGTGGCACTGATAGGCGACACTGACTGGTACTGATAATTGACACTGAAAGGCAGCTCTGATGGGCACTGATATGTGGCATTGATGTGCACTGGTAGGCACTGATATGTGGCATTGATGTGCACTGATGGGCACTGGTATGTGGCATTGATGGGTACTGACAGGTGGCATTGACAGGTGGCACTGATGGGGATACACTGCTCATCAGGGCACTGATCATAAGTGTCCTGATGATCAGTGTAGATGTCCCCTCTGAGGAATGCCAATTACCGACTTTCTTCTCCTCACACGCTGTCAGTGTGAGGAGAGGACTGCCGATAACTAGCATTTCCTTGTTTACATGCGATCAACTGTGACTGCACACAGCTGATCACATGACAGAGCCAACGTCATCAGATCTTTACTCTGATCGGTGATCCGCTGTGTCCTAGGGACACAGCGCACCACCAATCGCCACACACCCCCTGGGGGCGTGCATGCCTAGTTAGAGTGGAAGGACATCATATGACGTCCTCCCAGAATGAGAGAACCGCCCGCCCATCCATCATTTCCTTATATGGCAGGCGGGAGGAGGTTAAAGTGGTAGTAAGTCTGTTTTTTTACTTGTACCTACAGGTAGGTACTGGAAACATCTGCTAAACGTGCACCATTTAGGAAAATATATACCTGTGTAGAGCACCGCCACATGTGCTGTGAAGGAATGGCATGCCTTCAGAGCTGTGTGCTGTAAAAAGTGGTTCCCATGCGCATGTGTGGGAGTGACATCATTGGGGCTCAGCCACTCAAGCTTCTAGAACCCCTGAACCTGGAAAAAAGGACAGAGTGAAGATGGAAGCCCTGTCAGCAGTGACAGCAAACCTCTTGAGGGCTTCGTTTTAAGATAAGTTTCACCTAATGTGCTAGTATGCAATGCACATTATGACTTTGTCTCATAGGGGAACAATTTTTTTCTACAGTTTATTAACATTTTAAGGTACCATTGGATCACAATGACATGATGGAGTGTAGCCAGGTACTTGGCTAGAGAGAGCAAGTTGGGACACAGTGCTACAGCTGCTCTCTGTGCTCTAACTAAACTGTTCATGCTGGACCTAGCAACATTGCCTGCTTTCAGCTAGTAAGGGGAGCAGACAAGCCTAAAGAATTCAAGAGACCTCTATGCTGGCCACACTGGAATGTGGGAACTGAAGTTCAGGAAGGGAGCTATGCTATGGACTCTTATGGACCATTGGACTACAGTTCCAAGAGGGAAAAAACAATTGGTGGAGATAAGAGCTGTATTTCTCAGGCTGCAGATTGAATAGTTGCCTCTTGTCGTGAGGAAGACCAGGGAGTGCACATTGTTGTCCAGTGCGCACTATCACTGCTGCAGATCAGTGGCCTGAGCAGGATCTGGAGTGCTGAGTTCAGGGGAGCCGACAGACAGAGTTACCTGTGTACAGAACAGAGAGTGGACTAATCGCTGTAAGTGACCAGATGGTGAGCTGCTGCTGTGTGGATTTAGAGACTGAGTGCTTTATGAACTGACTATACAGTCATCTAATAGCCTTATTTTCTGCCTGAAAGTGTGATTGGGACTGTATTCATTTGCACCAATGGTACAACTAGGCCCCAACGCTAGCCGGCTAAATAATTAGCACTAAATACTCCCCCTTTACAGCTCTTACACAGAGACTTTTACCTATTGCTTATGCTAAGAGGTATCTCTCAGGGAACACTGCACCATATCCTAGCCATTCTTCTCTAGACTCTAGACTAGTTATACTATTTTTATTCACAATATAGTTAACGTATATATGCATTGTTTAATGCTGACTATGCTGATTTATGTGTTGATTCCAGTCTAGTCATACAGAAAAGTGGTTCTAAGTTACTTTGGCATACTGATTACACTTTCTATCAGACTGTGTCTGAACCTACCTTTTGTATGCTCATTTATGCTCAAACCACCTCTAATCCATTCTAATACATTGAATTCATTTACCACTAAACACTCTTGTGTATATTTCCTGGTGCCAAATCACAACCAAGGTAAAGGTATCTATACCAGGGGTGGACTGACCATTTGGAAACTTGGGCACTGTCTGAGGGCCCGGGGTCAGTAGGGGGCCCCATGAGATGCCCCTGGTACATTTTTCATAGGCTTTATTGAGTTTGGGCAAGGACACAGGGGCCCAATGATCCACTATTGCCCAGGGGCCCCATGAGTTGTCAGTCCGCCCCTGATCTATACTTTTATTCTTGTAAGTGCTTGCATTAACTTTCATTCAACCAGGTGTGTCAAAGTGACTGAGATTGCTCTTGGAGTTGAGGTGCAGAACAGAGAACCCAAATTACCAAGCAGCTCCTGCAGGATAGAGCTACAGATGCTTACGAATTTCTCATGTAACTTTGTAGTCCATGCAAGTAGCATTTCCATTATGAACCTACAAAGCAAATTTATAAGAATAATGCTATACTTCTACCTCCACTTTTGTGACAGCCAGAGAACTATAATGGAAGATTTACAGCTCAGAAAACACTGCAACCAAGCAATAGGTCCGGTCCTAGTTGCAAGGTTTTTTTGCACTTCAAAGAGTTTGATGAATGAACTGAAATGTGGTCATGTGACAGCTCTACATGTCTGCTCAATCAGACTTGATGCACATTAGGCAATAGATAATTATATTTTTTCCTTCCTTCATTTAAAGTCCCTTGCACATGGGCATCATAATTTACTGATGTTTACTCAGGAACTTGTTGACAGAAAGTCCCGGAGTAAAAAAAACTACGTGTAAAGACCTCAGTAATTGTGCATAAAGGTATATAAGCATATAGACAAGTAAAATTCTTCTTCATTGCCAGTGTTGTAATTTATTCATTTAGACTCACGTAAACATACTTATAGATGTGTAAATACACATATGCGAGTAAATTACTGTACTTAAATGTAAAATTTTCTATTTTTATTTTACAGCTCTGTACTCATCGCTATATTACAGATCTTTACTCAGCTGTGTGTATTTTTGTCCCATAGACAACAACGCATCTCATTTCAGATTAGTAAAAAATTCTGCATTTTTAACACCTGTGTGCGAGAGGCCATAAGCAGACCTTCATTCCAAAATAATACCCGAATTAACCAAACCCTCAAATAGTGGAGGAGGGAAGCTTCACCCAGGGTGAAGCTTCCCTCCTCCACTATTTGAGGCTTCAGGATTGGGGACACAAAGCTGCCAGTGGGAGGAGCTGCACGCGTCATTGGATGTTGGCTGCCTTAACCTGGAAAAGGCAGTGAGCTATTGGTGATTGAGGAGAACCAAGATGGCGGCAGGGACCCCAGGCTAAGTCACCTGAACAGTGGATCACAGTAGGACAGACAGCGCTGGATTATCTAAGCAGGTGTGTATGTAAATTTAGAACGTCTGCACAAAAGGGAAGATGGGTTAAAAAAAAAATGTGAAAGGGAATGAAGTTCCTCTTTAAAAATTTTTGACAAAAGAATTACAGTACTTTATGGACATGAGAAACTACTCTGTATAACAAAGTATGGCAGTGTTTATAAGCTGAGTCTGTCCTCTTGAACTATTATGTAAAATATTCTAACAGATAATGTCTGAAGTTCTGTTGTTTTTTATGGCAGATGTTCACTGCCAAGAAAGCTGTTTGAAAGAGCATCAAAAGCTATCCAGTAAATTCAGTAACTCTGACATAAAATGAATACAGTTTACCTCTTCTGAGTTCTTTATAATGCCCTACAAAATAAGCACTATGGCTCCAAAGAGGGTCAGTGGGAGGGCTGTAGCAGTGCACTTCCTGAACCCTGTGCCACTATTTCCCTGCTTGCTTCCCGGTATCAGCAGTCACATGCAAACTGCCAAGGAAGGTTTGAATCTAATTGGTTACTGTAAAAAGTTTCTTTCTAATAGCATTCTGGATGTAAGTGGCAGCAAGGAGGGTGTTCCAGCATCTCAAGCAGGTGCATTCCAGGGTCATAAGCTTACAGACAAGGAGAAATGGGGTGTGCTCATACAGTAGCAACGTGGATAAAAAAGTTAAACTACTCAGCTTCAAAGTTTTGCCCCTTAAAGGTTTTATTTTCATATCTTTGTAGCATGTTTTTTTTTTCAAAGGGAAAAATAGAACCAACTATTTAGGAATAGTTGGGTTCAAGGAAGTGAGGTTTAAGGACTCATGAGTAAGCAAATTTATTCTGATTAGAGCAGAACTCCAGCTATCCTAGAAAACTACATGTTGATCTGTACTACAAGGGCTAAATAATCATTTCATCTTATCTTATACCTTTCCTCTCTAGCAGCCAGTGCTCATTTCTGCTCTCAGAATGACAGGCCCATGTCTTCCTAATCATTTCCCGTAGGGCAAGCAGGCCTACCAGTACTCAGTTGTCCCCAGGTCTTATACACAGTGCTATACTGCCTGGTTACCACACTGGGGCAGGTGTGAGCTAAGCACAGCACACAGGTACTTGTGGTTGGCAGACAGGCTGAGTGGTCCAATGACAGTTCAAGTTCAAGGCAGGCAATGTTCAGAGAGTACTGTAGTCAGAGTCAATTACAGGTGAAACTCGAAAAATTAGAATATCGTGCAAAAGTTCATTTATTTCAGTAATGCAACTTAAAAGGTGAAACTAATATATGAGATAGACTCATTACATGCAAAGCAAGATAGTTCAAGCTGTGATTTGTCATAATTATGATGATTATGGCTTACAGCTCATGAAAACCCCAAATCCACAATCTCAGAAAATTTAGAATATTGAGAAAAGGTGCAATATTCTAGGCTCAAAGTTTCCCACTCTAATCACCTAATTAAGCCATAACACCTGCAAAGGGTTCCTGAGCCTTTAAATGGTCTCTCAGTCTGGTTCAGTAGGAATCACAATCATGGGAAAGACTGCTGACCTGACAGTTGTACAGAAAACCATCATTGACACCTTCCATAAGGAGGGAAAGCCTCAAAAGGTAATTGCAAAAGAAATTGGATGTTCCCAAAGTGCTGTATCAAAGCACATTAATAGAAAGTTATGTGGAAGGGAAAAGTGTGGAAGAAAAAGGTGCACAAGCAGCAGGGGTGACCGCAGCCTGGAGAGGGTTGTCAGGAAAAGGCCATTCAAAAGTGTTGGGGACTTTCACAAGGAGTGGACTGAGGATGGAGTCAGTGCATCAAGAGCCACCAAACACAGATGGATCCTGGACATGGGCTTCAAATGTCGTATTCCTCTTGTCAAGCCGCTCCTGAACACCAAACAACGTCAGAAGCGTCCTACCTGGGCTAAAGAAAAACAGACCTGGTCTGTTGCTCAGTGGTCTAAAGTCCTCTTTTTTGATGAGAGCAA